TTCAAACAGCCACGGTCACCAAGTATCCTTCCCTTGTTAGAGGAAAACAATATAATCAGTTTGGAACCTTCGTCTTTCTTCAAAGAGCGAACGGAAGGACTTTACGAGGAGGCTAACAACGAAGACAAGATCTTCAACCACTGGCGATCAGTACGATAGGACTCACGTGAATAGACAAGAATTGCCGAACTAACGAATTGGATAAAGACTTTTTCGCGGAAGTATGGCGACAACATCAAGCACATTACTAAGAGATGTTCGTTCATCTGATGCAGCAGAAAGCTGTACACATGAGAGCGAACCAGGAGCAAACTGCGTGGTACAACTCCTGCAACGGTTGCATCACTCCGCCACTGCTGCTACAGTGGTCGCCTATTCAGCAATTCAGGAGAGGCTACCGTTCTTTTGTTACGATCCCGAAAACGGATGTACTTTCGAGAATTGGCTATCTGAATTTCATGAAATAGTACTGTCAACATCGATGCCCGAAAAGGATTGATGCGCTCTGCTGTCTATGAAGCTGGACAACGCCGCTCATGCCAAGCTAAGAGGACACTTTGCGCCGAAATCTCCACTAGAGCTCTCGTTGAAGAGCTAGCAAAGGTGCTGACATCGCTATTCGGAGCGAAAAGGTAACGCTGTTTCGACGCCAATGAAACTGCCTCACATCGTAGAGGATCTCTCAGAGGACATCGGATTGTACGCTGCACGACTTAAGAAAATGCTAGTCGATGCCAAAGCGGCGAAGTGAAATTGGATCCACTAAAATGCTTGCTTTCATAATGGAGCTGCAATCGCCGTGCGATTCGCCAATATTTGCCCAACTAGTGAGCAAGCTGAACTGCGAGGCCGATACGTGCAACGTGCAGGACGTGATCGCCGATTGCAACGCATATCAGTTGGTGCAGAAGGATGTTGCCCTTATTGGACCCGTATCGCCTGCTTATCCAAACTGAAAGCGTCGCTCCTGTCCGGGAGAAATAACGCCGACCTCATTAGCTCATAGCAGGGACACGCCTGGAC